TGGGGTGGTTTTAACAGCCATAGTTAAAAGAGGTCTTCTTTGGCAGGGGTCCCCAACCCCCAGGCCATGGACCAGTAGCGGTCCTCGGCCTGTTAGGAACCCGGCCACACAGCAGGAGGCGAGCAGCGGACGAGCGAGCAAAGCTTCATCTGCCGCTCCCCATCACTCCCCATCGCTCGCATTACCTCCTGACCCGCCCCCACCCGCACCGCTCACATCCGTGGAAAAATTGTCTTCCATGAAATTGGTCCCTGGTGCCAAAAAGGTTGGGGACCACTATTCTTCAGGACATGTGACAAACAGAAAGTTAAAAATGTTTGACCAGGGGACTTCCCTGGTGGCACAGTGGTTAAGAATCCGCCTGCCAATGCAGGGGACGTGGGTTCGAGCCCTGGTCCGGGAAGATCCCACATGCCACAGAGCAACTCAGCCCGTGCGCCACAACTACTGAGCCTGCGCTCTAGAGCCTGCGAGCCACAACTACTGAGCCCGTGCACCACAACTACTGAAGCCTGTGTGCCTAGAGCCCATGCTCCACAAGAGAAGCCACCGCAACAGGAAGACCCTGCACCGCAACAAAGACTAGCCCCCACTCGCCACAACTAGAGAAAGCCCGCGTGCAGCAATGAAGACCCAACGCAGCCAAAAATAAATTAAGAAAAAAAAAGTTTGACCAGACAAAGGCTCAAACCTACTTACTACTGTGGTTATAAGGCAGAGGCTTTGTTTGCTGAGCAACTGAATAAAAGAACCAATGGAGCTAAGGAACGACTGTAGAGTGGGAGCCAGCCATCTCTGACAATTCTCTTAACACCCTCCTTTCCAGCCCTGAAGCTATGATTTAAATGAGATAGAATAAGGTGTACAAAAATATCTAGCGCCCAGTCTGGTTCATGGTAAGCGCTCAAAAAATGCTTACAAGTCCACTCATGTGTTCTTAAAGCAGTGACGTGAACATGAACACATCTGTTCGTGGGCACCATGGTGAAACGGTTAAGATCATTCTGGAACCAGCCTGGGCTCAGATCCTGGCTCCCACAATTACAAACTGTGTGGCCATAGACAACCTACATAACTCCTCCAAGCCTCAGTTTCCTCACCTGAAAATGAGGGTAACAGTGCCTACCTCACAGGATTGCTGTGACGATTCAATGAGTTACATGTTAAGAGCTTAGAAGGTGCCTGGCACATGTTAAGGTCTATGTCAGTGTTAACTGGTAAGGTTTCCATTGTTGTTGCTTTGTTCTGCATCTTGGATTCAGTCAATTACACTGGCTGCTATGTTCCAATATTTACAGGATTTACCTTTAAAGATTTCAGAACTGAGAAATCATTAATGAGGATCATTAAATGTCATTTTAAGTCTCTTTTTTCTTCTGGGTTTCTCCCCAGATACAGTCAGGTCAAATCCTGGAAAAGTTAGCAACTCATTGCAAGAACTTGGCCAAGAAAAGTGACACGTGAGGTATGTGTGGAGAATTACGAACCCAATGTGCCAAGACCCCAGGATGCTGCAGAGAACACAGGGACGGAGTGTGATGCACAGGAAGGCGCTGGTTCCTTGTGGTCTCAAGCAGGTCCTTGAACCTATGGCTCGGGGCCCTCAATTGTAAAGGGGCGACACCAGTACAGCACCTGCCCCCACCCCTGACAGCAGCGAGGAGGGGAAAGGGAGACATCCCTAAGGGCCCTGGTAATCCCTACGGCACTGGGCAAAGGTTAGGATGTATCTTAATCTACTTTGGGGTCTCACTTTGTACAACTGGAAACTTTTACATTTCTGAAAGTTTTCAAATAAGCCCAAACTCTTGTTCCTGCCAACAAGCAAGGTCCCTGCGAGTACCTTTTATGAGAGCTAAGGAGAAACATATTTTAAGACACTAAAGAATAGATATTTTTCTGACTATTCTCAAAAATAGCTCAGTTGACTTTATAAAATCACCTTTGAAAACAAAACAACAAAAGAACTCACCATCGCTCTGCATCTCAGCCCAGTAGGCCACTGCTCCGGGGAGGGCCTTACATAACGGGAGAGTAGACTGGCCTGATTCCGGGAGGGTCTGGGGATGACCTGCTATTCTGATCCCCGGGACCTGCTTTGTGTCTATTCCGATTCCCCCTTCCCTACTGTTTCGACACTTTACCAAAGGGCTTAGAAGTTCTATTTCTGACCCAGTGACTCTTCCAGCCACCGATGGGTTTAGACCAGATTTAGCCCAAGGCTCGGCGGGTGACAGGCCCACGGGGGCCAGCAGGGAGAGACGGATCCCGAGCCCGCCCCAGATCTTGCAGCCTGGCTGTCGCATGGGTGGCTGGCCCTGCCCGAGGGCTCTGGAAGTAAAGACACCTCTCCTTCCCTGGCCATCTTTCCACCCCACAACCAGGGTCTCCATGTGAGGGGCAAGAGGGCCCTTATGAATGCAGGAGAGGAGGAAAACAAATGGTCCTGCAGAGGGGCTGAAAGGAAGATACGGGGCCACCCCCGGGCCGCCTTCGTCTCCCTGAGGAGCTAGGGTGAGTGGCTTCAGGGAGAGCAAATAAGGACTAGGCAGCTGTTTGGTCACGGTGAGGACCACCCCGAGGGGTCCGCGGCAAGCCCTGGGCCACACAGCACTGTGGGCCCTGCGTCTCCTGCCCAGGTCTACCCCTGGCTGGCGCAGCCATGTGGTGAGGAACCGGGACGACCCACAATTTTCTGAACATAGTGGCACACTGCCCTGGGGCTGTTTTGTGTGTCCCCTCCCCACCTCCACCCTGATCCAGCATGCAGAGCAAGCAGTCCTAGAGGGAGGAGGGACATGAGAGCCCACGGAGGGAGTCAGCCCTACTGCCTGGACTACCTAAAGTGGGAAGACTCCCTTCCCTTTTCCACCTCCGCAGGTGGGATTCACACAACTAGGGCTGAGCCAAAACACAAAACCATGGCAGGCCTCGCTACGGGCCAGTGTGTTAACTACTTACATTTACAGAGTCCCAAATGTCACTCATCTCTCTGTGACCAGAGCTGGATTTCTCTCCACCCTCCTGACCTTTAGCAAAACCTGTCCAGTCCTGAGATAGATGTGTGGTCAGGCTTTACCTCTGTCACTGACTGAAGTCCACCCCGTCCTCCTGTGATCCCGTCGCCCATTCCAAGGCCTGTGTCTGCAACTGTGCACTGCACAGTGTGGCACTGGTCCCCCTCCAAGGAGTTCCGGGATACAGCTTTGGAGGCAGCCACCCTGTATCTCTGGAGCCCCCAGGTCTGGGCTCTGTATGCAGCAGACGTTTAATACAAGTCTGCTGGTCATTCTCCAATGTAAAATATGGGGAAAGAAAGCTGCCTGAGATGAATAAGCAGCAGAGACTTACTTGCCTTCACAGCCCCTCTGGCACCTGCAAAGGACTCAATACATCTGATTTCGCTGCGTCGAGCCTGTGAATCAGATGCCGATTCCCTCCAAGGATCGGTCAAAGTGGCACAGGCCTTGAATGCTAAACCACCCAGTCCTCAGGTGGTACATCTGAGCCAGAGGAATGAAAGAAGATTCGTGCCAACACCGAGATGGTTTGGCAGTATCACTGACTCCAAACCGGGGTTGGGCTACCTGCCCCGGGCCCCAGCCAAAAGTATGACAAAGCCCGCTGTTCTGATCTCCACTAAGGTGCCCTTGCCATCTTGGCTGCTTTGCAGTATCACAGCAGTAATAGCTACAACCAACAAAGTGCTTACCATACGCCAAGCAGGTTACACATGTCGACATACATGTTGGTGCAAAGGAGGAAGGAGAGCCCTAAGAGAGGACAATGTCACACATCCCAGGTCATTCTCTCATCCGGTAACCATCTGAGTGCCAACCATGTGCTATGCTCTAGGCCAGGCACTGAAGATGCAAAGAAGAGTAAGACACAGCACCTGTCCTCAGGGAGCCCACAGTTTGTGGAAGAAAACACAGAAAAATAGGCCAATGACACCAAGTGAGAGATGCCATAATGGGGGCATTAACTTGGGTCTGGCTTCATGGCATCTAGTGGATCCTAAACGAAGCTGGTCATGTTCTTTTGTATAAATTACTTAAATTCCCTAAACCCCCATCTCTTCATCTATAATATAGGGATTAATAGTACCCACATCAAAGAGTTCTGTGAAGACAATCTATACAAAGTGCTTACCTCGGGGTAAATAAAAACAAAATAAAATAAATAATGATGATCACTCTTTAACCACAGAATAATTGATTTTATGCACAGATTTTATGACATCTTAAAGTATTTCTAACTTCTTCTCACGCACATACATTTTTAAAACACTCAACTCTTCCAAATTTGTACTTTGAGTCTTTACTGGAGGATCACTAAGGTGACCATATAAGTTACTGCCCAAACCAGGACATTTCTTAGAGTGGGGAGAAAAGGAATGATTAATAATTTCACTGGGACAATGGGGTAAACCAGATGTACCATTATGAACAAAATGGAACCACTGATGACTCTATCGTTCACAGGCCAATTTCCAGAGCAAGGTCAGCAGCCATCACTAAGGCTTCCTTTCTCCATCATTTTTAAGAGCTGCCAACAACTTTGGAAATAGGCCCAACAAAACTCCAAGCTGGAAGAGAGCCAGTACCTGTGCCACCCCATTTAAAAATCAGGAAAGTCAATGCACATGAACAACCCCACCTCCAGGTCAGCAGCCATCACTAAGGCTTCCTTTCTCCATCATTTTTAAGAGCTGCCAACAACTTTGGAAATAGGCCCAACAAAACTCCAAGCTGGAAGAGAGCCAGTACCTGTGCCACCCCATTTAAAAATCAGGAAAGTCAATGCACATGAACAACCCCCCCCCCCCCCCGCCCCCCCCCCCCACACACACCCTCCTCCTCCTCCTCCCAAAACCTGAAAACCAGAGTCAGAGCCCGATCCTGGCTCTTGGCACCTGCCGTCACCCCTCACTTGTTGAAGACTAGCGGTCTTCTAGCAAGACATCAGTGGTCCTTCTGCCCCGAGACGATCCCCCTCACCTCAGGTGTCCAAAGCTGTAGAAGCGGGACTCGCCATCAGTGGAGCGGACCACCTGCAGCGTGAACATGGGCTGCAGCTGTCTGAGCTCCAGCAGGACAACGGCCAGGTAGTGGATGAAGAGGAGGGCGTCCACGAGGGAGACAGCGTATTGCACGATGCCCTGGTAATTTCGGTCCCGAGGATCCAAAATGCGGACCCCGTAAAAAAGCCAATAGGAGACCACGAAGAGAAAGATGAGGACCAACAAGAGGGCACGGAACACGAAGATCCGCGGCACGTCGGCTCTCTGCTTGCGGAAAAACAGCGCCCAGGTCCCAATGAGCAGAATCAGGAGCTTGAATGCCATGGAGATGAAGAGTCCCTCGCAGATGGTGCCACAAGGCTCCAGCTCCTCCCGCCACAGGATGGGGGGCAGCAGGATGAAGGCGATGGGGCTGAGGAAGACCAGGAGTCCGAGCACCGTGGCGACGGTGAGGCCCAGGTAGCGCCTGCAGTCCAGCCCCACGCTGTCCTCCATGTCCTTGCTGATGCGGGCGATGTCCTCCTGCGAGATGCTGTGCTCCGACGTGCCTGTGATGGCTGTGGTGGTCTCCCCCCAGTTGTCATCCTGACAGGGAGAGAACAGTGACGATGAAGAGCCACATGGCAGGTTACGTGTAAAAGCCACAAAGCCCGCGGAGGCACGGGGGACAGGGAGGGCCCACCTCCTTCAACCAACCCACATGAGTGGGCTTCCTGGGAAATGCAGGCTTAGCTCTTTAAATAGAGGAATTTTTTAACTTTAACAATTTTCATTGAAATTTTTCAAAATGTACTATATATCTACCTTTTCAAACAGAGAAAACATAATTTGACCTGTTTGTGTGTTTGGGTGATTCGTGACTACAACAGTGATTATCATCCACTGTGTTGGCATCCCTGAGAGGCTCGGGGATAGACAATCCTGCTGTTAGACTAACGTGTGCGAGCTCACCTACCGCCTAAGGAGAGAACCCTCTGCACTTCCTTCTTGATTCATGGCTGGGTGACAAAGGCTTACTTTAAAGTCCAACCCCTGAGTGGGGAGCATTACTACACCCTCCAGGAGCTCTGAGGAGGGAAGATCTTGCACATACAAATCAAAAGCCACCTGTAGTTGGTACGCACATTTTTTAAAACTCTATGATGTTTTCAGTAAGTATCAAGCAATCTGACAACATTTCTCATTGAACAAGCTAAGCAGATGCAAGTATCTCCGGCCAGGACAGCTCAAAAATTCCTCCCTAAACACATGTTCTCATGGCAAACTAAACATCAAGAGCATAAAAATACTGAGATTGGGCTTCCCTGGTGGCGCAGTGGTTGAGAGTCTGCCTGCCGATGCAGAGGACATGGGTTCGTGCCCCGGTTCGGGAAGATCCCACATGCTGCAGAGCGGCTGGGCCCGTGAGCCGTGGCCGCTGAGCCTGCGCGTCCGGAGCCTGTGCTCCGCAACGGGAGAGGCCACAGAGGCCCACATACCGCAAAAAAAAAAAAAAAAAAAAAAAAAATACTGAGATTACTAAAATGTGTGCCTTTTACTTTCTTGCTTTCACTGTCTCACTTTCTCTTGCTTTTTAAAGTCTGAGGTAGTGTGGAGTGATTGTCTCTTCATTTAACATGATCCAGTTGCCAGGGTTTTAAACAATTTCTCTAGCAACTACGATGTCGTTCCAAAGCAACAACAGAGCAAGAAGACAATGAAAAGCCACATTGGGTCCAAAGAGGTTTCTGCCTCAGAAATTTGTGGATATGATTTAACTTGGAAAAAACAGTCAGCCATGGTGGTAAGTTGGGTGCAATTAATGCATAAGATACCAATTTTGAAAAATCTAAGTTAATAGCTGAATCAGCAAGATAGAGATCTCACAGCCAAACGATAACCTCAAAACTAGTAACAATCAAAAAAATTATAATTCATGAAATGTATAAGCTATGGCAAGAAATAGTGGTGGCGGCAGGGAAGGTCTGGACCTGCGAACAATAGGTCTTCAACTCGGAAAGTTACAAGTATCAAGTACTATGAGGGAAGTTACTAGTTAAGATAACAGCCAGAAGCAACCACTACTCTCACTGCTGCTAGAAGTTTAAAATGGTACAATCACTCTTGAAAACTGGTCTGGTAGTTTCATATAAATGTAGATTTACACTTAACCGTATGGCCCAGCAATTCTACTCCCAGATTTTTACCCCAAATAAATGAAAACATATGTCCACAAAAAGATTTGAACCAGAATGTTCTTAACATCTTTATTTTCATGCCAAAAACGATGCAACCCAAATGTCTATCCACCAGGAGAATGGATAACAAATTGTGGTATATTCATACACTAGAACACTACTCAGCAAAAATAAAAAAGAATGAATTGCTGAAACACAGCAAAACATGGATGAATCTCAAAGTTATTATGCTGAATGAAAAAAAGTCCAAAACAAAAGAATATGATTCCAGTTATATTAAATTCTAAAACAGGCAAAACTAATGTACAGTGATAGAAATCAAAGCAGGGCTTGCCTTAGAGGGGTTTGGGGGCAGGGATTGACTGGGAAAGCATAAGAGAACTTTCTAGAGTGAAAGAAATATATCTTGATAGGAGTGTGGGTTATATGGGTTTATTCAGCTATTACAACTTTTCAAACTGTACACTTAAGATCTGTTCATTTCTCTGTGAATTTACTTCAATTTTGAAAAAGAAAAAAACACAAGCACGAGAAGAAACAGGCACACATTCAAAGATGGACAACTTGCTTTAACATAAGGTGAGTTTACAGATCAGTAAAGTTACTTTGTAACACTCTTAGTGAAGGCAAATATTGGATTCCATGTTTTGTATTGGGCCTAATATTCAGTTGATGATCAATGTTGAAATAATGATCACTAGTATTGTGGTCATTTTGTTATGTAGCTGATTTAGCTACTCACCCTTTTTCCTGCCAAAGAGTTGCTAACTAAATTCCCCTGTCCATTTTAAGAATATGTGCACATCTGTGCCTAAAAAATGAAGTCCAACAATCTTCCCAAGACTGAGGTTCTTAGAAGAGAAAGGATCTTAGATCCTCTATCTCAATCCCCTGGACTTTCAATGAAGAAACTGAGGCCCACAAAGGTTGTGAATGCCCAAAGTCAAGTCACATAGCTGCTGAGAAGTACAGCCTCCAAATGCCCACTTCAATGCTTTTCCCTGGTGTAAACACCAACAGCTTCCTAATGTAGCTTCCTAGTGAGCTACAAGATGTAGAGAAGATGACAGACGAAATGCCTTCACAGTGGGCCACCAGCACCTCTGAATTCACATCCAGGAGGAAACTGACCCCTGCAGCACTTAAGGGTGGTCCAGTCTTAGGATTGGCCCCATCCATCCAACCATTCCTCTGGCCCTCTGGCTCTCCATCCCTATGACCGCCCCAGAGCCAAGGCAGGCCGTGCAATAGTAAGGACTAAAGGCCATTTACTGACCACTGAACAAACCCCACATTCAACCACAACTGCAGCTTTGGCTTCTAAGAGCATCTTGCATGCTCTGAAGAATTCCAATTTCAGTCCATATATCTGCTTATAAATGCACATCTGTCTGTACCCATAGGTACACACAGATACATGCTTATCTATATCTTTACAGCTGTGTGGGCACACATCAGTTTATTTGGGGCTGAGGCTAGACAGGCATATACTTCAAGGGGCTGTGCAAACATGTTTCTGAGTATAGCTCAGATGTTTATTCAAATCAAGTAGACTGTGAGACAGCTGGGACCCAGAGAGAAGAACACACACAATGTTTTAAAAAAATTAATAAATAGTCCATATTTTAAAATTGGATGATTTTACATAAAATCCTAATTTCCAGCTTTTCTTAAATATTGCAAGACCCAGGAACACTTAATTCCTGCATTCCTGTTGTTTCCTTGACAGAGGAAATGCATTCTCCAGGTGCCAGATTCCATCACTCCACGCCACAGCCCTGACACGGGCATGCCGCACAGATTGCTATTTACTCCCAAGCTAGCCTGATATATTTTTGCCTCTTCTGTGTAACCCAGGGTCTATTTCACTCACCTATGTTTCCCTAGCAGGCATCTAAGTGTACAGCTCCAGGTTTAGTGAGGCTTCGTCTGGGCTGTCCTAACCTCTCAGCTCTCCTTCCCAACATGACACAGGGTCTCTGGAGAGCGAGTTTCCTTCCCTCTTAACACTGTTCTACTTTGGAATGAGTCTCCAGAGCCTGTAGCCTGCAACTTTCCCTTCTCTGCTCTGTCGTCAGCCTTGCTGGCTTCTTTTCAACACCATTCAAAGGAGGCCAACCAATCACACTTCAGAAGAATCCTCAAGCTAGCCAATGGTAGGTCAGGCTGTCCTTAGACCAACAAGAAACCACAGGATATAGATAAACTAATTAACATGCTAGAAAAATAAAGATAAAAACCCAAGAGAACCTATTACAACAAGACTTAGGAAAACATTTACAGAAAAGAGGCTTGATCGAGTGCCAGTGTACTTACAGACACTGCCTTTGATCCTTACCTGAGCTTCCTCCGTCCGAGTAGAATCATTTGCCAACAAGGGCTCTCCGGTGGGAGCTTGAATGGTGACAGATTTTTCTGACCCTCTGCCATCTTTATTCCGGGGTGATTTGTGCCTCTCTCTATTTCTTTCCCTGAAAAAAAATAACAAAAGATAATCCGCTAGCACACTTATGCCATGTTAATTAACCCTCATCAAAACATGTTATAGGACTTCCTTGGTGGTGCAGTGGTTAAGAATCCACCCACCAACACAGGGGACACGGGTTCAAGCCCTGGTCCGGGAAGATCCCACATACCGCTGAGCAACTAAGCCCGTGCACCACAACTACTGAGACTGTGTGCCACAACTACTGAAGCCTGTGCACCTGGAGCCTGTGCTCTGCAACAAGAGAAGCCACCGCAATGAAAAGCCTGCGCACTGCAACAAAGTGTACCCCTGCTCGCCGCAAGTAGAGAAAGCCCGTGCGCAGCAACGAAGACCCAACGCAGCCAAAAATAAATTAAATTAAAAAAAAATATTGTTAAAAAAAACATGTTATAAATTTCAATTTGAATTTAAGAAACTTCTACACACACACACACACACACACACACACACACACACACACACACATGGTGCCAACACCCACCCACCCCACCGCCCGGCAAAGAATAAGCTGATCTTTACTCCTTACTTACTATTTTCTTTCTGCCACTCCAAGACCCAAAAAAAGACTGTCACTTCTTCTCTATCAACAGTGATCATATTTTTTCAAAGCCTAATACTGTGAACTTTAGAATTTCTGTAGGTAAGGCACATTTCATTGTAAAATTACTGACGAGTTGATCATAATTCGCCTGAACTTATTTTCTAGGACTTTTTTCTATTGGGACAACACAGCAAAATACTTAAGCTTTGGTCTGTTCAAAAAAATCTGGGACACACTGTCACCCTACACCTTTGGACAAGAAGAGAAGAAAGGAAACCCTAAACCAATACAGAGAATCAGTTACTTCTCATTACTACAAATTCAAAACTAAAAGTCATTCCCATAGATTCTAGATGAACTTAAAGCACCCACAGAAACAGGCTAAAGTTAGAGCAAATGACCCCAAGAGGTACACAAGCAATGACCCCAAGAGGTGTGTGTGTGTGTGTGTGTGTGTGTGTGTGTGTGTGTGTGTGTGTGTGTGTGTGTCGTAGAGTAGCCTGGCCTAAGAACTCTGAGAGATTTGTTATGGTGTGTGTGTGTGTGTGTGTTTGTGTGTGTGTGTGTGTTTTCAGGCCCCCTAAGGAAAGCAGGCTGCTGCATCATTTTACCCCCGATGAACTTCCTGGGTGGTCTTCCAGTGTGACGATGAGTGCACCCTGCTGTGGGTCAATGCTGAAATTAGGAAAGGAATCAACCACTGTGCAAAGCCCAGGGGTCATGACCTGGCCATTAACCACCTACGGAGACTGGCACCCCACCCTCAACTGTGAAGAGTCAACCCAGGAGCCCCTCCAAAGGACAAAGGAGCCCCTCAGTGGCCAAGAATAAGTTCCCTCAAACTCCGTCCCGCAGGCCGCCCTGACACATCAGTCCTCCTTCCTTCACCCATGCGCCCTCCTCCCCAAGGTCTCCCAGGCAGGACAGAAGCATCGCACACACACACTACAGAGACAGACTTTGGTTCTGCCCCTACCTGATGTGTGAGCTTGCACACGTTACTGAACCTGCCAATTAAAGAATGTCGCTCACCAGTGGCTCTACAAGGATGAAGTCGCTAGCCCCTGCAGTTGCTGACCTTCGACACACGCTGAAAGGAGTTCAGGGCAGAGATCAGGAATGAGGCACTCTGTGCCCTGGGAAAACTGGCAGAACAGCCCTTCAGACAGTTAGACATTTTCAGGAGAAAATGTTATGAACCCAATTTCTCACATCTTCTCATACCTAGAAAAGCACTAAAATCATTAAAGGAGACGTCTGCTCCTCGTGACCAGCAGCAACCTTCTACCAAAGTGTGTGCCTGCTTGCATGTACCCCTTTCGTCAAGTCATATATATGCTGACCTCCCCCACCACCTCTTCAGAGCAGTTCCTCAGAGCCATGTGAGAGGCTGTCTCCCAGGCTTTAGTCCTCAGGAAGCCCCAAATAAAAGTGACCTCACAGCTCTCATGTTGTGTTTTAGTTCAGTTGACAAGCCTCTGAAAAACCTCAGTTTCATCATCTATGCAATGGGGATAACGATCTCAACACATAGACACAGGGATGTGAAATAATACACTGCGGCTATTATTACTGCTATTAGTATCCACACGTGGCAAAGAATGGTGGCTTGACGTGGTGAAGCAGAGTATGTGCTCCTTGGGGACAGATGAAAAAGCAGCTTTTAACACACAATCAAACCCCTCCCGCTGCACAGCATCCCTCCTATTAACCTACTACTTAGCGAACAAAACCACATGCAGACTTTCTGTGGTCAAACTTCTGCTTTATCAATATCTCCCTAGGATAAGCCCTGGTTAATTCCTTCAAAGGGCAGGGAGGCTTCAGTTGTCCCAGAGAGGCTTTCAGTGATACCATCTCTAATCCCTGTAGCGTAATTTATCACTACAATCTATTGTTAAATTAGAGTCCAGAAATAGATGTGTTCTGGTCAACTCTTGATGTTTTATTTTAACTGGGCAACTAAGGAAACAGCTAAGAGATGTTGTTTGTTTATCTAGGGGTGTGTCTCACTGCCAATCACTCCACTGCCCATCCCAATTTAAAGAGCACTTTACCAAGTGCTTTCTTATATTAATCTTGTTCAATCCTAACAATAACCCTATGTGGTATTATTGTCTGCATTTTATAAATGAGGAAACGGAGGCTCACAGAGGTTAAGTGACTCCCCAAAGTCATAGCAAGTGGCAGAGCAGGATGTGAACCCACTGCCTCGATTCAGACCCGCTCTGCGCCACTGATTTGAAGAGCAACTGGGAGATTCTGTAGCATTAAGTATTCCTTATGCTCATTCCCACACCCTGAACTTGATGAACTTACCGGAGCTATGGAATCTGCCTTTGAAGCTACTGCTAGAAGTCACGACTGGACCATGACCTTGGAGAACACAAAGCAGTGCACCCAACACTCTGGGCTGCCAAAGACAACCACTTCAAAAGGACTCACTGTGAGAAACAATAAGCAATTTGGGAAAGCTTTCCCATGTGTCTGATCAGTCTTAGCTGTTTAGACTAAGTCTGGAATCACTGTTCCCCAGGACCCCACCTTGGCCAGGCCAGACCGAGGCACTGCTCCTCTTACTGTGTTTCCACTTTCCCCAACCGCTCTCACATCTATCACTGTCCTGCCATCTGCCAAGCCACGTGCTCCCCTAACCCATCAATCTCTTCACTAGTCCCAACGGGTCAAATCCTGTGACAGCACAAATTCCACTGGAAATCAAAATTCTTCCACTGAGTGCCAATTCCTGCAGGCTGAACACTACCAGGGCCGGAGCGGGTAGGGAACCACCCGGGGCTGGAAACAGCCTCTCAGGGGCCAGCCCTTCTTCGACCCGACCCCAACTGGCCCAGCCTGGCCCTTAAAGGGCCCGACAGTCCCCAAAGGAGACGTGATCTCTACAGTTCCCCTGGTAACATCAGAGGTAAACCAGATAAGAGCCCATTACCTGACAGCTCCAGGAAGGTTTCTCATCCTCCAAGCCCCAAACCCTAAACCACTGCTTCTCACACGTGACTGTGCAGACAAGCCACCTGGGGTGCAGATAAAGTACAGATTCACTGGCTCCATCCCCAGATTCACTGGCCCCATCCCCAGACTCACTGGCCCCATCCCCAGACTCACTGGCCCCATCCCCAGACTCACTGGCCCCATCCCCAGATTCACTGGCCCCAATAGTCCGGAGAGGAGAGACACCAGGAATCTGCCCTTTTCATCAGCACCCCAGGTGATTAGGAGGCAGGTGGTCCAGGAAACTCTGCCCAAGGCTCTCCCACCCAAATGCTCCTGGGGGAGGAGGTTGTTGGAGCGACTACTCAGAAATTTCCCTGTTTGTAAAACGCCCTGTATACAGCGGGGGCTCAATAATGGGAGCTGTGAGTGCAGCACTCAGCTATACAATGTTGCAGTGTACAGCGTGGCTTCTATACTAAAACAGCATTAAGTGCATGAGGCTGGGAGCAGGACTCAGGACAGTGTGCATCAGGCCCAGAGCCAAGAGCCTTCCATTCACTGTCAAGTAAGGGGCCGACGGAAAGCTCACCCTATCAACTCAACGTGGGCTGCATGTCGTGCTGGTCATTGTCAAGGGAGAAAGACCTATTGTACAGTTTTTATAAAAATCACTGGTCCTGAACTACTGCTCTGAATTACTGTCTGAGCCCGGACTACATAGAGAAGCCCAACAAAAAAGGCTGCCTTCCAAGTGCTTTCCAGCATGCAGAGCTATGAGCCCAGTATGGCTGCCGCTTCACTGCATCGGTACCCAAACGTTCATCCCCAGAGCTCCAACTGCCGTGATGTCAAGGACGTGCCAAGTACCCTCCAGTAGAGGGCCCGCCAGTGGTGAAGACCACCAGTCCACGGTGTCTAAGAGAAACAGGAGACAGGAAGTAGGCTACCAAACCACTGAAAGGATTTTTCAAACACATACGCACTTGGTGTTTCTCCAACTCCACCCGAGTTGTCTGGATCACCTACGCATCTTTGCTGGACAGGTGTGTCAGCCACAGGAATCCTTGTATCTTTATCTCTGAGCCTGTCTCCATGCATCATCTGCCCGTATGAGTAAAGATAAGTCAGGGGTCGGGGGCAAGCAATAACATGCTGGAGGCCTGGGCATGTGTCTGTACCTGCACGTGTGTGAGTGTGTAAATGCTTGTATTCAGGCAATTCCAGAGCTGAGCCCTGGGGGTGCTGCTGTAAAGCCCGTCTCACTCTGACCAGAATCCCCGTTGATTCCTAGACCGTTCCCGCTTACAGTCAGCATTTCCTGGGAAGATGATTTTGCCCTCTTTCTGTTGTTTGTCTATTTCTACTTGGGGAAAGCCAGCCCCACCGGTTACTCTTCCCTTTCCTTCTCTACCACCACCCACTGCCTGTCCTTTTCTCCACCAACTGCGACTGCCGGGGCCCGGCTGCTTCCTCTTGGCACTGCCTCGGGTGCGAGGGCTGGGCACAGCACAAACTGACTTGGAAGCAGCCTCGGAACAAAAGCACAGATCCCCCTACCGCTCAGGCAGCCTCTTTTGGACAATGCATTTTAGTACATTAGTCACATGGCTTACCCTCCACTCCCTTTTTTCCCTATCAGTTACTCTGCCGCTCTCCACCCAGCACAGCCCACCCAGCACAGCCCAGGGAGGAAAGCATGGCTTCTAAAGGAGGACTAAATGGGGCCTTAAACCGGAGGGTCTCTACCAACCTCATAACTTCAGGCAAATAGTGCTCTCTCTGCGTCTCAACTGTATCACCTGTTGAACAGGGGTCCCACCTCCCACCGTTCTGGGACTGCTGTGAGGATGGGGGATAATGACCAAGGGTCCTAACAGGCACTCTCAAACTCGTCATGAACAGTACTGGCAGCCGCTGTAATGAACTCGGGGAACTGGTGCTCCAAAACCCAAAGGTTAGGCGAGGTCGGCTGGAGTCTGTGCCGTTTTCCCAGCAAGTTAACTGGATACCCTCGGGAGATGGCAGGTATCACAAAACCAGACCACTAACCTCTTTGTTAGAAAAGAGTCACTTGTCATCTGTTTAGAACCCAGCCAGTCCTCCAAAGATGATCTCGGTGTCATGAGGCATATCAAGTTTGCTGCCCTTCATTATTCCCCTCTGACAGTTCTACTAAGATTCCTAAAGAGCAAACTCCCTCTCCTTTCCTACTCTGCCATTCAAATTCCCAACAAATCCCTGAGCAAAGCAGCCCTCACAGGGACACTCCAGTGTGATAGAGACCCTCTGCTGGGTCCAGGGCACGCCTGTGGGAGGCTACTACTACTCCCCAATATCACCCCGACAAAGGACTCCCGGCACCTACTCTCTATGGATTACAACCTCTGCCCCACAGTCACTATGCCCTACAGGATTGCCTGTCAGGGAATCCAACTCAGAGGTTGTTGCTTTTCTAAAGATGCCAGGAAGTTCACCTATAAATCTCGAATCTCTCACCCTGAGCTCTTCTGAGTAGGCATTCAGCAACACCCTTGATTAAATTATTAAAGGTCTCAGCTTGTATTATCATTTGCCAAGTACTTTTTTTTTTTTTTTTTTTGGTACGCGGGCCTCTCACTGTTGTGGCGTCTCCCGTTGCGCAGCACAGGCTCCACACACG